CTCCTCACAGCTTACAAGCAGAATTTGAAACATGAGGACATAGTATAGAAAGTAGCAGTGTTAGTCTGAGGCACTATTAGAGCTTCTATGGGACTGCTTTGGATCGGTGGACTGGTCCATATTCAAGAATTCAGCAGCCAATCTAGATGAGTATGCCATTACCATTATATAATTCATTAGCACTTGTGTGACAAAGTAGTCAAACCAAATAGTCCCCAATCAGAAAGCACGGATGAACCGGGAAATCCATTGCCAACTAAAGTCCAGGTGTGTGGCATTCAAGTCAGATGACCCTGACCTTTACAGGAAATCCAGATATGACCTCCATAAAGCCATTAGAGACACCAAGAGGCTTTTGTAAGCTACAGATCCAAACTAACACTCGGACACCTACCATTTGTGGGAAGGCCTACATGACATAACGGCGACAAAGTGAAGAACGGAATGGTGGACAAAAATACATCCCTCCCTGATGCAGTCAATACATTTTACGCTCGTTTCAAACAAAAGGTCAGTGAAACAGTGTCAGCTGCCCTGACAGCCTCCAACGTACCTGTTCTGTCATTCACCGCTGTAGATGTCAGACCTTTATGAGTGAACTACAGAAAACGACTAGCCCATATGGAGTCCCCCACCATGCACTCAGATTATGCATGTACCAGCTGGCAGGAGTAGTCGCTGACATCTTTAACTTCTCCTTTCTACAATCTGTAGTCCCCACCTGCTTCAAGAAGACCACCATCAGGCCGGTACCAGAAAAACTTCATGAAGCATGCCTCAATGACTACCACCCAGTGGCTCTGACCTCCACAATTATGAAGTGCTTTGAGAGGTCAGTCATGGCTCATATCAACTCCAGCCTCCCAGCCTGCCCTGATCCCTTGTAATTCGCTTACCGTTGCAACAGGTTCACATCAGACACCATCTCCCTGTCCCTACACTCATCCCTGGAATAAAAGGATACCTACATCAGTCTTCTACTCATTGACTACAGCTCTGCCTTCAACACTATAATTCCAACTAAACTAATCTCCAAACTCCGAGACCTAGGTTTCTGCTCCACGCTCTGCAACTGGATCCTTGACTTTCTGACCCACAGACTGCAGTCAACGAGAATAGGCAAGAGCACCTCCTCCATGACGATCTCAACACCAGCGCTGTGCAAGGCCCTCCATGTATACTCATGATTGTGTTGTCAAATCAAACTCCAGCAACAAGTTTGTTAACGACACCACCATTATCGTCTGGATCTCAAACAATGACAAGACAGAATAAACGAAAGAGGTAGAGTGCTTGGTGGTGTGGTGTGAAGATAACAATCTCTCCCTCAAATGTCAGTAAAATGAAAGAGCTGGTCATTGACTTCAAGAAGAAAGGTTGAGGGCACACCCCTGTCTGCATCAATGGATCCGAGGTGGAGATGGTCAAGAGCATCAAGTTCCTAGGAGTGATGATAACCAACGATCTGTCTTGGTACACCCACATTGATGCAATGGTCAAGAAAGCACTATGGCGCATCTATTTCTTCAGGAGGCTAAGGAAATTTGGCATGTCCAAAAGACTCTTACCAATTTTTATAAATGCTCCACAGGAAGCATTCTATCTGGATGCATCACAGATTGGTATGGCAACTGCTCTGCCCAGGACTGTGAGAAACTACAGAGTGTCATGAACATAGCCCAGTAATTCACGCAAGCCAACCTTCCATCCAGTGACTCCATCTATACTTCTCATTACCCCAGTGAGGCAGCCAACATAATCAAAGACCCCTCTCACCCTGGTTATAATGTCTTCCAACCTCTTCCATCAGGCAGAAGAGGCAAAAGCTTAAATGCACGTACTAACAGATTCAAGAACAGCTTCTTCCCTGCTGTTATTAGACTTCGGAATGGACCTCTCCAAATTTAATATCGACCTCACTATTTGTGCACCTTCTTTGCAACCGTAACATTGTATTCCATGCTGTGTTCTCTTACCCTATGCACTTTGCCTGGTATGATCTGCCTGTACTGCACAAGAAACAAAACTTCTCACTGTCCCTAGCTAGACATGGCAATAATATATGAAATTCTAAAAAAAAAAATCAGCTGTCTGACCCTTCCATCTCATGCTGTTTTCCAGCTGTAGTCCTATTATGCCTTGCGCTTTTTGAAAGCTGCGGCAGGACTCCCCTTTCGTCTTAGTTTTCGAGCTCTTGCACCTTTCCTTTTGGCTATTTTCCTGCTCTTGGGGCTCTCCCATCCAGCACTATTTTTCAGTCCTCAGGACTCTCCCACATGATACTGTTTTCCAGCTGTCAGACCCTTCCAGTTTTCAGTCTTTTCCCTAAGATTGGGGATTTCAAGACTAGGAGCTATATTTTAAGATGAAAGGAGGAAAATTTAAAAGACGTGAGGAGCAACTTTTTTTACACAAAGTGATTCGTGTATAGAGTGTACTTCCAGAGGAACTGGTGGATGTGGGTACAGTTACAACTTTTAAAAGATATTTGGATAGATATGTGAATAAGAAACGTTCAGAGGCATGTGGGCCAAGCGTGGACAGTTGGTACTAGTTTAGTTTGGGATGATGGTTGGCATGGACTGGTTGGACTGAAGGGTCTGTTTCCATGCTGTCTGACTATCTGAGCCTTTGGCTATTTTCTGGCTGTAGGCCCTCTTCCATTTTGTTCAGATTTCCACATCTCTGGCCTCTCTCTTCCAGTTGCTGTTCACTCCAGCTCTGTGTTCTGGCTTTACATCTATCCCATCTGGTGTAAGTTTTTAGCTCTTGAGCCTCTTGTCTCCATTTCTTGGGTTTCTAATGTCCAACACAGTTTTCTGGCTCACCAGCCTCTCCCATTTTGTCCAATTTACTGGCTCTCTGGCCACTCTTCTCTCGTGACTCTTCACTTTGGCCCTATATTTTGGCACTCATCCCTCTACCGACTGCCACTGTCTTCCAGTTCTTGGGCCAATATTATCTGGCACTGCATTCCGGATCTCTGGTGGCTTCCCTCGGACTATTTACTGCTTTTCAAGCCTCTTCCCATCCACCACAGTTTTCCGGTTTCCATCTGATGCTGTCTTCTAGCTCTCGGGCACTGTGTCTGGCACCTTTTTTTTTTGTTTTTGGGCTTCTCTTATCTGCCTCTGTTTTGCAGTTCTTGTTTCTCTCAGACCTGGTGTGGTTTTCCGCTCTCAGGCATCTCCCATCCTTGATGTTTACCAGATGTTTTGTTTCTCCTGTCTGGCACTGTTTTCCAACTTTCAGATGTCTCCCTTCTATGCTGTTTCTCAGGACTTGGTTATCTCCCATCTTGCACTGTTTTCAGTTGACTTCTCTCCTGTCTTAGGATGTCAACAATCTGTCAGACCTCTTTCTCACTTCTTGCGAGCTGTTGGAGCTTTGCTCTGTCACACTGTTTCCAGCTCTTGAATATCTGCCCTCTCATACTCTTTTCCAGCTCTCTGAACTCTCAAGTCTGCAGATAGTTCAGTCACAGCTGCAGCACTAACAATGTACAGAGTTCTGTCTTGACTTTTTAAAGCAAGTATCTTGCCATATGCCTTGTCAAACATATACTGTGTGTTGCTGCCTTGCCTTTTCAATTATCTACTCTGTGTTGCTGCCTTCAAGAATTATGGCTATTTACACCGAAATCCCTTGCATCCTTTGTACTTTCTAGAATCCTACCATCCAATATATACTTTCTTGCCTTGTTACTTCTCCCAAAATGCATCTCGTTACTTCTCATGATTAAATTCTATTGGCCACTGTTCTATTCAGTTCACCAGCCCAAGTATATCAGCACATAGTCCAAGGTTTTTCTTGTTTTACCAAATCAATTTTTGTGTCACCTGCCAAGTTGCTCATTAAACTTCCTCTATTCATGTCCAGATCATTTATGTACATAACAGCACCCAGCACTGAACCATGTGGTACATCAGTTTCCAGTCACACAAATACGCTTCACCCCTCTCCTTACTGTCACAAAGTGGATTTTGGATCTAATTTGACAAATTACTCTGGATTCTGTGGGCTCCCTCGATGAAACCTTGTCCAAAATTCCACATCGACAGCAACTGCTGTCTTCAAGTTCTGAGGAAGGGTCACCGGACCTGAAACATTAACTCTGATTTTTTTTTTTCTTCACAGATGCTGCCAGACCTGCTGAGCTTTTCCAGCTACTTCTGTTTTTGTTCCTGATTTACAGCATCAGCAAGTTCTTTCTGTTTTTATTTAGTATTGCCACATCTCTTCTAGGTATGTCCACCTTGAAGAAGTTCTGCTCCCCTCTCCGATAGGATTTCCGTTCCCACCTTTCTTCTTACCTACTGACATTAATTTCACTTGTCACTCCAGGCGAGTTAGAACATGAACGTGGACCAGTACAGGTCCTTCGGCCCACGATGTTGTGCCGAGTTCTGAGGGTCACTGGACGTGAAACGTTAACTCTGATTTTTTTTCTTCACAGATGCTGCCAGACCTGCTAAGCTTTTCCAGCAACTTCTGTTTTTGTTCGATATCAAGGGCAGTGCCTTCATCAGCACACCGCAAGAAAAAAAATTCATTCAGGACTCCGAGATAGCAGGAACTGCCGAGCTGGAGAATCTGAGATAACAAGGTGTAGAGCTGGATGAACACAGCAGGCCAAGCAACATCAGAGGAGCAGGAAGGCTGACGTTTCGGGCCTAGACCCTTCTTCAGAAATTTCCGGCTCCTCTGATGCTGCTTGGCTTGCTGTGTTCATCCAGCTGTAGACGTTGTTCATTCAGGACTTCGCCTCCCTGACTTCCCACAACAACTGACCACACGCTGAGTTTGTTGTCTTCAACGTCGTCGCACAAAAGCGTCTCCAAACTGCTCACAATCCCGCCTCGCCGGATACACACACATGCGCAGAACGGCTACAAGCCCCCGAGCGCATACCAACCCGAACTCGTAGCCTGTGCGCGTGTGCACCGAGCCGCCTCGACCGCAGCTGGCGCGAGGTACGCGGTTACGCGCATGCCCAGCGAGTGGCGTTGACGCATGCGTGCAAAGCAATTGGCGGAGTTGCCAGCTGGTGGTGGTTTAATTTAGGGAGGGTTAGAGTTTTTTTTTAAATCCTCGTTTCAGGAGGAGGTAAAGCCGAGTAGTCGGACCTCGGGCGGGTTTGTTTGTTTGTGGGTGATGTTTGAACGGGTGGCTCAGCCGGTGCGGAGACGAATGGCTGGTTGATTGTCCGGCACTGACCGAAGGAGTGGCCGAGCCGCTGGTAAGACAACCTCGGGGCCGACTGATCACCAGCACCACACCTCCATTCCGTTCCCCGGGCAAGATCGGTGGATCGGCCTTATCTCCTTTGCCGACCTCGAAGGCTTTTTAAGCCCCTTTTCCTGGCTTGTCGCCCCGGGCTTGACTTGTTCTTAGCCTGGCCTATTGTCAGTGTTGGAGAGAGCAGGTCTGAGCCGCGCTTCTGGTGTCAGCCCGGGGCCGGGCCGCTTACTGCACTGTACCGCCCTTGCATTGCTTACATTCAAACTCAACTTTTGGCTCCTGTCCAGGATTACTACTTTTTATTTAAAAAATCATGTTTCCGAACCTGCGGAGTTAGTTTGAGATGAAATGGGTTACCTTGGCGATGAGAAGGCAGTCATGCTGCATTCCAGAGCAATTTGCTGTCAAACTTCACTGCAGGTTATGTAGAGCCAGTGATGACATGGGTAATAAGAGAGCAGTATAGATAGGGTACTTTGCTACCATATCGAGTCCTGCTTGGTAGTAATTGTCGATTTTGATTATTGTCATAGCTTGTTGACTATTTTACATGATTGTACTTGTGTTTGAATTCTGCATATTGATTTCCCTAGCTGTAGTTGTTTCCTCTTGACTCCTTTTGGTTTTTGTGCATCTACCCTTTTCTAGCATCTGTAGCTATGTCTTCAGTTGCATAGATGTTAAATCCGTTTTGTATCTCAAATGCTGTTCCCTTTTATTAAATCCACCCTTTGACCAAGCTTTGGATCATCCGTCTTAATCTCTTTTTGGTTTGAACTTTGTTTTCTTCTGGCTTCTGTCAAGCACCTCTGGATATTCTTCTAGACTTAATATATAGATAAAACTGCATAGCAGTTAACAAGAAGACTCCAATTTGAAACTTTTTTAAACTTCTAGACTGCTGTTTGATGTCTGCACATTGACACTGCAGTATTATGTACTGAAATGTCTTGATGCTTTGCACCTGTTAGCTGTATGACTATGAAAAGAGGAGTTGACCTTCTCCCAGTTGCTAGGCTAATTGGTTTTTACCTCACAGATAGCTTTACTGCATTCACACTATTTACAACTTGTTTTGTATTCATTACTTTGTTCAAAATGAATGTCAGAACACTAATTCTTTTCATAGTTTGCAACTTTAGTGTTGAAGCAAAAAGGTTGAAGCATAAGTATTTAGACATTACAGTCTGGTTTGAGATAAAGTTGTTGGAACTTCTGTTAAATGACATTAACCAGTGAAAGTCATGGGAAGCCACAGCATTAGGATTTGCAGCATAATTTGTCAAAAGATATTCTTTTTCCCCTGAAGATCATAAGTATTAGGACTAAGAGTAGGCCATTTGTCCCCTTCTGCCTGTTCTGTCATTCTGTAGGATCATGGCTGTTCTGACTTTACTCACATCCACATTCTTGCATTTTGTCCGTAACTCTGATTCCCCTCCAGATCAAAAATCTGATCTTTAAATACAAAGGACTCTACCACCTGCAGTCTCTGTAGCTAGGAGTTCCAAAGACTCTCAACCCACTGAGATAAGGAGGAATTTCTTCTCTCTCTTAAATTGGCACCCCTCAATTCTGAGACTGTGCCCTCTGTACCTACACTCTCCTGTGAGGAGAAACATCCCCTCGGCATTTTCCTTGTCAAGCCACTTCAGAATCGTAAATATTTCACTGAGATCACCCCACATTCTTAACTCCAGTGAATACAGTACCAACTTGTTTGGCCATTGTTCATAAGACAGCCCCTCTATTGAGACCATTGTAATAACAAATATAGAAATTAGGAACAGGAGTAGACCATTTGACCCCTTGAGTCTGCTCTACCATTCAGTATGATCATTGATCTCAGTACTCTAATTCATTCTTCCCCCGTATCCCTTGATCCCTTTAGCCACACAAGCTGTATCTACCTCCTTCTTGAAAACACAATATTTTGGCCTCAACCACTTTCTGTGGTTGTGAATTCCACAGGCTTGCCACTCTGGGTGAAGAAATCTCTCCTCATTTCAAAACTAAAAACCATACTCCTTATTCTTAAACCATGAACCCTGGTTCTGGACTCCACCCACCATCTGGAACATCCTTCCTGCATCTCGCCTGTCTTGTCCTGTGAGAATTTAATACTTCCCATGTAATGTGATTCCGTTCCCCTAACCCAGTTAACTTTCTCTCTGAACTGCCTTCAATGAAATGAAACCCTACCTTAAGGGCATCAGAACTGCTCTCAGTACTCCAAAAATAGTCGCAGCAGCACTGTGTACTTCCCTACTCTTATGCTCCAACCCTTGAAATTAGGGCCTATATTCTATTAGCTTGTGACATGTAATTATTCTTTGGAGGAGAACAATTTTTGTAAGAATCTAATTTTGTCTTGTAGTACAACTGTGGAAGGAGTTCCCCTCCAAATGGTATTCGATCTTATTGTCTTGGACTTGTAGAAGATTTTAATTGTTTGGAGAAAATGGGGACACCTGGATCTGGAAGGAAACGAACGCCTATTAAAGACAGATTCTCCGCTGAAGATGAGGCCCTGAGCCACATCGCCAGAGAGGTTGGTCGACATTTAATTTTGAATGCTTACATTATTATAAGCTGTTGTGATTGTTTGTCATGGTGGGATGTTCTCACTTTTTATCTTCAATTTATAGTTTAAATTCACTTTCCCTCTAGGGTACACAATGCGACAAGCCAAGGCTTGTGGCATACTTTGTATGAGTTGAACTGCAGTTCTTATGCAAAGTTCTGTTTCAGTATTGGAAAGGAATGCTGCTGCAATCTTAAATTTTTAAGGGGTACTCAGACATAAAGTTAATATCTATAAATAGTCTCTTTTTGATTGCCATTGTATAGGTGAGTAACAGATGTATCTATTTGTCTCTAAATTTCACAGCCAAGTGAAGTGCAGGAAGTTCTGGAATATTTTTACTTATTTCATAAGTTAGATATTACTGTCCATGATTTGAGAAGCTGTAGTTTGATGGATGATGTCTTTGAAATCAAAAATGTCATGTATTGCACATTGAACTAATAATGCCTAGCTTTCTTGTTTTGTTTGCACTTATTTTAAAATGTGGGATGTATTTGGATCAGATGTTCCAAATTTAAGAAATCTGAAGCACAACTCATTCATTTCTAGCTTCTGCAGAGGTTGAACAAAGGTAGGTGGGTGTGTGGTGAGTCAGTGAATGCTCCATCAACAGGTGGGTAGCATATTCAGGTATTTTAAATGCTAGCCCCCTTTGATTCAGCAGTGCTGGTCAACCAGCCGGAATACAAATGCTTCTGCCACCTTGTATTAGAAATGTTATGAGGGCTCAGGCACATGTATCCCTGTCCATCAGTATGCAACAGAGTTCTGTCTCCTCCACTAAGTCTCTCAAAACCCCAGTACCTCTTGTATTGTCAGATTGAGTGTAGTGTGCAGTTTTCAAAGAAGTTATTTGTTTCCAGTTAACTATTGGTGAAATGGAAATGGCATAATTGACATAACTGCAAGCTCTGCATCAGACTTTAAATTTTAGCTAGCTTCTGACTGTAGACATTTTCCTTTTTTAGATTAACATTTATTTGTTTCAGTGATGCTTCTTCAAAAGAAACTGAGGATATTATCTTGTTTTAAAGTCTCTGCATAAATATTCTGTATGTAAATGCAAATTATTGTCAAGCTTCTTGTAGTACCATGCCCAATTAATAGATCCTTGGTTTTGCCTAATATTGCATGTTGGCAGAATTTTCACCTAGCTTTTGCTAATCCAGCCCTTGTTATTAATTCTTGGAATGTGGACATCACAAGGGCCAGCTTTCTCCCCATCCCTAATTTTCCTCGTACAGATGGCAGTGAGCTGCTCACCTGAACTGTTGAAGTCTTTGGGGTATTGGTGCATCCACAATGCTTTTTTGGAAGGGAGTTTCAGAATTTTAACCCAGCAACAATGAAGGGATCCAATACAGTTCCAAACTAAGATGGCGTGTGGCCCGGAGATGAATTTATAGGTGGGTATGTTTGCATGGTTCTGCTGCCTTTGTCTCTCTTGGTGGTCAAGTTAGGATTTTGAAGATGCTGTCAATAGTTTTGGTGAGTTACTGCAGTGTACCTTTTAGATGCCAGTCTGCATTGGTAGTGAAGGGATTGAATGTGGAAGGTGATGGATAGTGTGCCAATCAAGTGGACTGCTGTGTTCTCTGGTGCTGACCTTCTTGAATGTTGTTGGAGTTGCACCACTCAAGTGGACAGTATTCCATCAGACACCTGTTTTGCACTTAGATTGTGGACAGACTGAGGAGTCAGGTGGTGAGTAATTTGTGAGCATCTGAACCAGTTCTTGTCGCCTCATTATTTATGTGGCTGGTCCAGTTTATTTGCTGTGAATGGTAATTCTAAGGATGTTGATATTTGGGTATTCATCAATGCAAATGCCATTGAATGGGAATGTTAAGATTCTTTCTCTTGGTGACGGTCATTGCCTGGCAGTTTTTGAGGTTTGAATGTTACTTTCAATCTGTCAGCTCAAACCTGTTGCTATCTAGATCTTGCTGAATATGAACGCGAGCTGTTGCAGTGAGAAAGAAGTCACAAGTGGTGCTGAACATTGCGCATGCAAACATCAGTAAAGATCCCATTTGATTTTGTTTTTAAAAGATGCCAACCAATCTGTTTGGAGAGGTTATGCCATACCTCTTAGATAGATCTTAAACCCATGCTTTCCTGGCTCAGAGGTAGGGATATTACTACTGCACCACAAGAGGCTCCACTTTCTACCTTCTTCAAAATTTTTCTCACTAATACCAAATCACTGTGACATCTCTGTTCCATTTTAAACTACTAGTCACCATCAGTAAATTATGTGTAACCAATGGATACTTACATGCAAAGCCTGCTATGGGTTATAGAAACTACTTTTGACCTTAAGGTGGAGAAGGTCATTTGAAGCACCTGATGGTGGTTAGACACTACCTTGAGGAACTCTGGCAGTAATGTCCTGAAACTAAATTAATTTAGAACTCTTGCACCATTTTTTTTTTTTTGGCAGGACTCCAACTAGTGCAAAGTTTTCTGCTTGCTTCTCATTGATTCAAGTTCTTCTAGGTCACCTTCATGCCATATTCTGCCATGTGTTGCCTTGTGTCCAGGACGGTTGTTCTCACATCATCCCTGAAGTTCACCTCTTTCGTCCATGTTTAAACTAAGGGTATAATGAGGTCAGGAGTTGAGTTACCCTGGCAGAGCATGAACGGTCAGTGAGCAGGTGCTACTTGATAGCACGGTTGAGAATCCCTTACATTACTTCCTGATAATGGTGAGTAGACTAAGTGAGGTAGTTGTTGGGTTGGATTTATTGCGCACTGGATACAGCTGGACACTATTCCACATAGTCTAGTAGAGGACGATTTTGTAGCTATAGTAGAACAATATGAGTAGGGGTGTGGCTAGTTCTGGAGCACAAGTCTTAATCCTATTGCACAAATGTTAAGGCCAATAGCCTTTGCAGTATCTAGTGCCATCAGTCAATTTTTTAAATATCACTTAGACTGAACCAAATTGGCTGATGACATGTATTTGTGTTGCTGGGGATCTCTGGTGGAGGCCAAGTTGGATCATCACTCATTTCTCCTGGTTGAAGATGGTTGCAATTATTTCAGTCTTTTGCATTGATATGTTTGGTTCCCTATCATTTAGGGTGGAATTGTGGAGCCTTCACCTGACGTTCATTTGTTTAATTGTCCACTATCTTTCACTACTGTCTGTGACAGAATCTCAGAGGTTGGATCTGGTTTGTTTGTGAGATCTTCTTCTATTGTTTGTCCTATGCTGTAGCTTCACCATGTTCATATCTCATTTTTTTTTAAAGTATGCCTGGTGCTGCACCTGGCATGCCCTTCTGCATTCTTCACTGAACCAGGGTTGCTCTCCAGTTTTAATGATTGGAGGGATATGCCAGGCCAGGAGGTGCAGAATGCAGTTGAGTACTATTGTGCTGCACATGGCCCTCACCACATCATGGATACCCAGTCTAGAGTTGCTAGATCTGGTCAAAATTTGTTCCATTTTAGCATGATGATCATGCACCCAAATGGTGGAAGGTATCCTCAATGTGAATATGGAATATTTTTCTCCAAAAGGACAAGAGGTCATTCTTAGCAACACTGTCACGGACAGGTAGATTGGTGAGCGTAAGGCCAAGTAGGTTTTTCTATGTTGTTTGTTTCCTCACGACCTGCTGCAGGCCCAGTCTAGCAGCCATTTCCTTAAAGATTTAGCCAGCTTGGTCAGTCATGGTGCCACTAGGTCACTCCTGATGATACCTGTGAAAGACCCTACGCAAAGTGCACCTGTGCCTTTGCTACCTTTCAAGCTTCTTCCAAATGCTGCTCAATCTGGAAGAGTACTGATTCGTCAAGTGAGGAGGGATGGCAGGTGGTAATTAGAACAAGACTTCTGTGTCTGTACCATGAAGTTTCATGAGGTCCAGTATCATTGGTGAGTTGTTCCAAGGCAACTCCCTTCTGATTGTATACCACCATGCTGCCACCTCTGCTGTATGGGAAGTGGTCTGTGAGATATGATTGCATGAAAATGACTTGGGCTAATGCTTTGCTAGTTTGCTGGACACCTCTTCCAATGTTGGCACAAACCACAGACATTAGTATGTAAGCCCTTGCATTATTGATGACGCTGGGTTTGCCGTTCTTTTTTCTGATGCTTGGGATGATTCAAGGTGGTCCATCAAGTATGATTGCATGCTTTAAACTTGTTAGAGATTTTAAGACTGCCTTGCTAGTACAATTCAGGGAATGTTTAACCATTCCACACATTGCTTTCAATCTCAAATCGTATGTAGGCCAACCAGATAAAGACGGCAAATTTTCTTTTCTAAGGGGTGTTAGTGGACCAGATGGGTGTTTAGAATAATTGACAAATATTGCATGCTCGTAGTTAGACTAACTCTTTTAGTTCCAGATTTTTGCATTTAATGTCACCATCTGCTGTGATGGTATTTAAACTCATGTACCCAAAGCAATACCTGGTCCTCTGGATTATTAGTCAAGTGATAAAACACTAAACCACCTTGCCACTTTTTGCAGAGTAATCAAGATTTAATCATTGGTTGATTTTGTTTAACTTAACAATTCTGAATTATTTAGCCTCCTGCACTGTTGTCCTGTTAAGGATTAGCTTGACTTGAGTGCAAACTGGGCAAATATTGGATTTACCTGATCTGTGACATTCAAGGACTCAACCTGGACTTGGACATTTTTGAACGACATTCACAAACTCCAAATACTCCAGGAAAAACTGGTCACATTTGACAACAAAACAGAAAAGTTAGGAATTGTGAAGCTTTGTGTTTTTTCTTCAAAATTTGTGTGCAAAATGGTGTTCAGACTTTTATTGTGTCTTAATTTATGAGCCCTAACTGAAACTTCTTGGAAATTCCAAAAGAGTTCATGCTCACCCACGGGTGGGAGAATGAGAAAGAGGGCAGCATGCCCAATTTGCAGGACAATTACAAAAGTTTAATAAATGGTAATGAAAAGATCTTAGTAATGGTT